CAGGCTCTACAGAAAACCATAGTGTTATCTCCCAAAGGAGGATTAAAAGAATTCATTCTCAGAACATTCTTTCATTAAAAATAAAAATGGTGGCTTCACCTGGGTGAAAACTTGTATAGTATTTTCCACATTGCCTCATATGTCATATACTTTATGTTGTCTGGTTTGGCTCCCCCTCCCACCCCCCAGCAGGGGGGTGTGCTGAGGAGTGACACTCAGCTGGGAGTTTGCGGGGGGCTGGCACATAATGGTCTGTTTCCCTTCCACGCTCTGGATTCACTAACACCTCTGCGAAGGTGAGCACAAAGTGGCTGACCTAGTTTGATCATATTATATGTGCACTTTTCAACCATGTAAATGACATGTCAAGGCATAACATGGCAGTCTGTGGTAGAGTAAAAGCAGTCTTGTTTTCAAGGGTGCTAGTACTAGTAATTACAGGTAGTCTGTTAGAAAGAAATAACATGCAGCTATGCACCACAAGTCTCCAAGCACTGTCTGGTATAATTGGGGTCAAGGAGAGTCATGTTCACACCCTCATCTTAGCCAAACCAGGCCCTCGCTTGGGTTACTCATCCTGGCCATAAGCAGCTCCCCCCATGTCCACTCATGCTCAACTAGGAGCCAAAATGTCTTTGTTAGTGACATAAGAACACTAAGGGAGAAAAAGGGGCCCCCATCAATCTTCCCCGTATATCACATCCATACACAGTTTGACCCCTCCACACTAGTAAGTGATTAGACACTTGCCTGCCATTCTGCTGCAATCACCCCAGAACATTACAGTGGGACTGTACAAGGCCTGTGTAAATCTCACTGATGCTCTATTTGGAAGGGTTAAGTGGGATTTCTATGTGACTAGGCCTCCTTCAGCACAGAGGGAATTTCACACAACTGAGAACCTGTTTTTCCATGGACTTTTAGCTTTCTGGTTTTGAACTGTATCTCCACCACACGCACACACGCACACACGCACACACGCACGCATGCACACTTTCACTGGATAAGCTTTTAACCAAATAAATTAACTTTATAATTCAATTAGCTTTATCTTACAAACAGAAGTTTTAAAATGACCAAAGAAATAACTGAAAGAAAAAAATTCCCAAGCAAAACCCAATTCTACTTTCAGACCATACCTTAATAAAAATAACTGCTTGTTAAGTAACAGACTGTCCTTCTGTTTCCAAATGCCACAATCAGTAGCAACACTGTTTCAATTAATACTACATTGCTGTCTTTATATCATAATATATTGGGCCAAATTGCCTGTTGAAAGACCTCAATATGCAGGTCATTTTCCTGATGGATATTTTATCAACTCTTAAAGAATCACACTTAAACACTTAATTAAACAGAAAAAAAAATGCTTTTCTATATCTATGAAGTACAGTGCAGCCTCATGCTTCCAAGAATATTCGTTGCTTTTCCAATGAAAGATAGGTAACATCTGCTGTGCCCTGACGGGAGAGTATGTTGTGTTTAATTTCACTGAAGTGTTTGCAATACTCTATTTCACTGAAGTATTTGAAAAGGCAAGCATTGCACTACTTTTAACCATCAACAAGATCACTTTGGATTGCTGCTAATCAGGATTAAGCTGCAGGATGGTGACCCTCCCTTTATCTTGGTCAAGTGCCTTTGAAATGATAGAAGCTCAATTTGGAAAGGCTCTTCTGTACCGTTTCCAGCCTTCTCCCCAATTAATGGCTTCACTATCTCCTGCATTAAACCCATAAGCATTTCATTTAGCCTGCCCCTGAATGTCTCTCGGGAAGTTACTTCAATACAGTCCTTGGCAAACTGTTCCATTAGTTACTTAGTATCTCTAGTCATACTTATTAAACTCAGGCATTAATATTTTGGTTACATCATTCTTACCATAAATAATTCCTTTCCCTCCATGTATTTATACACAATTTTAACATCCCTGTTTTGTTAAGCAGCAGCAATTATCATTCTAATGGTGATAGGAGTCTCTAGAGCTGAATTCTTCCCTCATCTATAACAGTAGGTTCTGATCCTGCACCTGACTGAGCCCCACTGAGTTCAAGGTGCAACCACCTTAAGTCAAATGAAGGATCATAACCAGCTAGTTGCTTAGTGTCAGAATCTTTACTTCTTAACACCCTTTGAGGCTGTTGAGAACTACATAACCCTGGCAGAAGAACTTCAATGATGTTATAATGAAAAATTACCATTTGTAGAACATACCATCTTCAACATGCCTCTTTGCAATCCCTATGAAACTTCTACATAGTTGCTTTTGTGGATGACAATTCTTCCTAGCTTTTATTTTAGAAAGTATTTCCTATAGAATCCACTCTGTTTTCTTTCTGACTTTATGATCTGAATGTCTTTTTAATAGTCTTGTTTTTAATACACTTTATTTGTGTCTATGATATGAAACTGTTGCACTGTTGAAAATATCAGAAATGTGATAAATTTAGAGCTGGTAAAACAAATGGTGGAATTTTTTTGCAAACATATTTAAAAGACTGTTGTCTATTTTTTGTCAAAATTTTAAAAAAATTCCAGCAACTTAAGCTAGTTTAAGCATTGCCCTTGGAATCCACATCTATAATTAGGACTATTTACCACTGTTAGTGGCATAAAGGAGCAAGTAGCACTTTTATATATGTCTCATATTGGTTATAAGATGAATTCTTATTTAATCCATGGGCTCCTTTTCAGTTTTTAGCTTTATAGGATGGATCTGATCAATTTTAAAAAGAATCTTGCTTTTCACTCCAGTTCAAACTAGAATGATTCAACAGCACAGTTTCACACGTCTAAGGATGTTGCATTGCTGTATAGATGGGAACATGCACATGACAGAGAAAATAAATCATTTCCTATACATGTGGCCATTTCTTGGCTGCTAAAGGAAAAACTGTGCCAGGCCTTACCAGTGTGGCTTCGTTTGTGAACCATGAGCACATTGGGACCGATGCAAATTATCCCACAGATATCACATTTTAGCTTTCCGTTAGGAAGTCGAATGCCTCCAACTCCTGACATAGCTTTGCTGCCTGGGCCATTGTGTGAGCCATTCATTTTCTCTCCAGAGGCATCAAGCATTCGTAAATCCTCCGCACATTCTTCCCCATTCAATTCACAGGCACGCCCATTCTCTTCATCACTCTGAGTCTCTATTTTAATATTACTGGCTGAAAAAAACAATACAGGAGGCCCCTCAGTTTTGTTACAAAACAAACACAGTGGCAAAAAACAATCAAATCAAAGGAGTTAACTTCTAAACAAAATGTACAATATACCTAAACAAAAGAAGCTGCAGGTATGGCAATGCTTACATGGGCAACACAGTAAGAGTGATGGCATATGGAACTGTGGGCTGTGGGTACACCGGTAAGACAAGACATGATGGGGTGTTAGGCACCTGAATGCATTTAAAACATCCATTCAAGACCCCTTTCAGATTTATGCCATTGTAACATCTGGATTGTCAAAGCAGATAATACCCAGAATGACATTATACTGAATCCATATCTTTTGGATTTGTCAGGCATTGAAGAATGGAAACCAGTACCCATGAAAGGGAATGGATACCATTTTAAACAATATTTCCACTCTGCCATGATAGCCTTACCAAGACATCCCTTGTTGTGAGGAAGAAAGATGATAATTTTTGTCACTATGGAAGGAGATGGCTGAGAAGTGTTAAGCAAGAGAACTAGGACTCTGGTGAAGAAGCAAGCTAAGGCCATCAGGACTGGAGGCTGAAGTACAGGAGTAGGAATCAAGTTCCGGGTACAGCCTGACTTGGTAACAGAAGCCTGTTTCTGGAACCACCGGTAAATGGTGAAAAGTTGACATGTCAGGATGAAGGAGTGGGATTTCTACAGGATTCAATATAGTTGCTACAAGGGCCAGAAATGAGTGATCCTATGCTTACGACATAGTAATTTCATCACCCTGCAACCTGAGTATGTGAGAAACACTTGCATTATAATCCCTTAACAGAATTACATCCAAAACAGCTTTTGTTTTTTTTCTTTTTTTAATTTATGTGAAACCATATATTTATGCCAGAAAAACGGGTAAAAAAAAAGACGTTTTGAATTATTATTATTTTTTCTACAAATGACTAAGCTACAGGTATAAATCCTGCCTGTGAAACCTGCTGAGGTGGTATCTTATGTGAACACATAAAACATGTGAAACAGTCCTTGGAAGAGTTTTATTCCATTACAATTTCATACATCAATCCTTTACAAGGAAATATGGAAAAAAAACAACTTTTTGAACACATAATTAGCAGGCATGTGCACATGTTCATGCACCTTGCTTTAAACTGTGTGATCATAGGTCGGCCCCCCACTTGTGCACTGGGAATGCAATTTAAGTCAGGGTTGGGGGAGGGGCAAGCAAGATAAGGGTGGGGCTAGAAGGTGCATCTGTGGGTGGGGACGGGAGGGCAGACAGGCCAAGCAGTCTGTCTGAGGATGTGGGGGCCAGTTGGTTAAAAATAGCCTGGTCAGGGTGGGTAGGAAAAGTACAGCCCAGAGGCTGGGGCAAGTGGTTGGCTTTTCAAGCCCTGGGGATGCACTCCAAACATGTACATACATTTGGTTAGATTGGATATGGGTTAGCCCAGTCTACATACTGTGCCTCCTTAGGTGAGCTATGTTAGAATGGGCAGGCCATTTTTTGCCCAATCTAAACTCCCCAAATCTATGATTAGTTCGTCATTTAGACCTAAACCGAGTTAGGTTGATTTATGTGTAATGTCTGAACATACCCACAAGGCACATCTACATGTTTATTAATGTGCCGTAGTTACTGCACATTACATTTAGTACTTGTATAAGCAAATACTAAATTAATGCGCAGTGACCAGTGTTACTGTGCAGTAGCATTGGCACATGCCTTTTTAGTGATGCTACTGTTCAGTAGCCTAATAATACTGCCCAGTAGTGTATTAGCACTGTTTGTACTCTGACACACTACTGCAAAGTATTATTAGGCTACTGTGCAGTTAGTGTCTTGTGTAGACATACCCAGTGTCTCCTAATCCAGAGTCAAGATCTTTATAGAAGAATGATTTCATGTAAAAAGTCATAATTTCATTTTTTCTTTTAAATAATTTCAGGAGACAGAAATGATAATGAAATACAGAAAGAGGGCAGTATTTGCCCCAAACGTAGGTCATCAAGTACATCTACACAAGAAATCAGTTTGCAACACACTGAATTTTGTTGTCCTCAGCAACCTCACTGAAGTCAACTGGTTTCAATGGCATTGAACAATTTCCTTGACAATATCTGGCCCAAATAATATACTACCTGGGATACAGGCACTGAGGATGATAAAGTTAGATTATAGGGCCGGTTTGTTGAAAGTCTTTTGTAAATCCATATTCTCATTCTAGCATTTTTGTATGCATTTTTTAACTATTGTATTTTTTCTAGATATGTAAACTAATCTCAAAATAGGGGAGTTATGAATATCAGCATTTGTTTTCAAACTTCTACTCTGGAGAGCAACTCAGAGGTCTAGGAAAACCTAACAGTCACCTGTCTTATGAAACAAATATTTGCATAAACTTATGTGACTGGCAAATCAGAAGTGATTACTAGTTTCTTCTGAATTCAGTGGCAGTCAGGAAGCACTCATTTGCAATGTGCACTTGGTCAATTCTGCTACAGATATCAATATTGTTCACCTCATAACCAATAATAACGTACTGTCTGTTCCATGATTGTTTTCAACCAGGCACCAGGCTTTTTCTTCCTTGTAAAAAAATAACTGCTTTTGTTTAAACAAATGACACCTATTCAAGAGTTACAAACCATAGTCTATAAGGAAATTTGCCAACAGAAACTTTTAAATCATTCATGGCTACCAAACAAACAGAAAAAAGTATGTGAAAAACAGACTCTATTAAACAGCTAAGTCCTTATGTAATACAGACAGACAAGGATGAATTACTGATAAGTAAGTGACAAAAAAAATTTAAGGATGGACATGCTCTGCAGTGAACAGACAGTGAACTGTATACTTACGGGAAAAAGATTTAGGTATTATTGCGTGAAAGTCCCTATAGCCTCCAGCCCCATATGCAGCTGCAATAAAGAAGGCAAAGAGGATGCTGGGTCGTGGTATTTCTAGCAGTAAAGTCAAAGAAGAGGGCATTCTTGCTATAAAAAACATTGCTTCCAAAAAGACTGACAGAACTATAACCACAGGTATAGCAAAGAAATTAAACAGAACAAAACAAGAACAAAAGAAGGATCCTTAGAAGGTCCTTAGAAGATCCTTAGAAGATCCTTAGAAGTATGTGTACAATTTTTACTGGAAAAGCTGCTTTTCTCAAGAGTTGCATAAATTCTACCATGTTTGGTAAACCCCCAACATTTTTTAATCTGCATCCTGTAAATTTGAGGCAAAACTCCCAATGAAATCAAAAGAAGCTTTGACTGAAAACGCCAAAGCGAGAGTTCAGATTAAAGTCAGGCAGAGTTAAGAATCTAATTCCCTTAGGCCCTACCATGCAGTAGAAGACTGGCTTTTGTCAACATGCCACCCTTCCATTTCACAGAACTGCTCTTTGTAAGTATTCAGTCGCTTCTACTGACGATCAATGCCAAAAACTGAGTTGTTGTTTTCCCCCCACCTCTGCCAGCCTTGAGGAGTAGACAGAAAGGGAGCTGGATTCAATTGTGTGTGTACCATCAACAGAATATTTTGACTGAGGCCTTGTCTGTGCAGGCTTTCAGTCAGTGACACAGCTAAGCTGTACTTACGTATGAAAATCATGCAGACAGTCTACACTAGTGTAAATCCATGGTCCAATAGTGCCACTTGGAATAAGTTGTACTACTGAAAGTAATGGTGCAAAGTACCTATACTAAGGCTTTTGCAGTGATTCAGGTTCATTAGCTTAGCTGCATGAGTAGTTAAAACCTCCACTGTGGATAAGATTTAGCATCTAATAAGCCACATCCATGCAATGGCATTTATTACATGATAACACACTAGCATCACTGAGGGACTTGTTTAACTTTCAAAACTTTTGTGACATGAGAGAAGGAAAAAACCCACTTTGACTCTAAGACCTCAGGATGATTTTACTGATCTGGTTGTTAGCAAAACATTTACCTTTGGGTAAACTGAGCATACTTTGACCAATTTACCCTTCAAAGTAGAACTGCATTTTGATTACTGAGATACAGGTAAAGAGTATCAGTGTCCACTGTCATGACCCAAAAGGCATGATTGTGTGTGTGTGCTTCGGCATCAGAATTATCCACGCTAAGTTGCAGAGCATTGCACGGGAGTTTCCTGTAGCAAGAGGAAACCCCGGTGCAGGGACCAGTTTCCCGCCTTTTCTGCAGCTTCTTTTGCAGGGTGCATTGCTCGAGTTGCAAGAGGAATGCACGGTGCAAAAGAGTTCCCGCCACCGGTATGCAAATTCGTTCCCCGTGATTGGCTAGTGTTAAATTATTCACACGTGGCGGCTAGCGATTGGCCTGTTAGCCGTATAAGAGGCTTGAGCAGTTTCCGCCCAAGCCGAAGAGGACTCCACATCCATCTCGTGGGGACTCTGGGTACACGGCAGGGTAATAGAAACCCTGTGTGAGATCCAGAGGAGCGTGGCGGCCTGATCCACCGCCCACCTCTTCCCGCCTTCGAGCGCGACTAATATAAGACGTATTTACGATTTCTACATTGGTGGCCTGTTCACCCAGAGCATCCGGAGCTCTGCACCGTGGAGCCTAGCAGCCTCCACGAGACCGTCTGTGTTGTGTCTGTCTGTAACTGCAACTTAATCAAGTTTTCCAGCCTACACCATTGCCATCTCGGTGTAAGTAAACAATCTTTAAAACTACCGCTACGCGTCCGTGCCTAATTCCAGAGCGAAGGCCTTCCCTCTCCGCCCCCGCGTGCCCGGGCTGCTGGCCACAGCCCGCGTGCAGCGCGAAAAAGGGCTCGGGGCGCTCCCGGCCTGCACATCCACAAGAGGAAACTAGATGTGTCGAGAGAGTGGAACAGCATGAGTAGAAAAGGGGGTGAGAGAGAAAGAAAAAAACATTGACTTAAACTAGCAGATTTTAAAAAATTACACTTGATTTACTAATAGCATGGCATAAGTAATACCTATTAAAGATATTAAAACTTTGCCTGGAGATTTTTAGTCAGAATAAGC